ATTTGTAACAAAGGGAGATAATACTCCATTTATAAAATGCAGTTAAAATTTAGTTTTTATTTTAATTTTTTTATTTTGAAGAGAATAAAACCAAATTAAATAAAACAATGGAGTCAATCAGAACAAAACAATGAATGTGATACAGGACCTGTGAAGTTAAAACTTAATAAAAACAGGGTTAATCTTATAAGATGAATAGCAATTAATTAGCAACAAATAAATGGTACAGTAACCTAGACCCAAGAAAGAGGCACCAACTCACATAAAAGATCAGAAAATTGGGATTGACTACTCAAATAAAAACAGAAACACTGAATCTGCTGGAAGATATAATTAGTAAACTTCTTGACACTATGGGGATAGGTACAGGCATAGGCAAGGGCTTTCTGAACAGAGCCTCAATTGCACAAAAAGTAACATATCCACAAATGGGGGCTGGGGATTTAGCTCAGTGGCATAAGCACCTGCCTGGCAAGCATGAGGTCATGAGTTTGATCCCTGGTACCAAAAAAAAAAAACAACAACAAAAAAGGAATCCACAAAAGGGATTATATCAAATTAAAAACCTTCTGTATGGTAAAAGAAACAATCATGAAGGTGGAACCTATAGAATGGGAAAAATTTTTGCAATCTATTTGACCGAGAACTAATATCTAGAACATACAAAGAACTAAAATAAATAAATTAATAACTCCCCAAAATAAAAAAAAAATGCAAAAATAGGAAATTGAAATGAGCAATTTTCCAAGAAATACAAATGTCCACTAAGTACATGAAAAAGTGTTCCGCATCTTTGACCATTAGAGAAATGCAAATTTAAAAAAAAAAAACACTGAGAATTCATCTTAGTACAGTAACAATGATGATGACTATGGAGAAATTCTTGGAAGGTTATGGAGAAAAATCACCTTTCTACATTGTTGGAAGGAACAGAAACCAGTTTACATACTGCAGAAATTAGTATGGAGATTCCTCAAAAAACTAAAATACAAATTCCATTTGACCTAGATATATCTTTTCTGGATATCTTCCCGAAATAATGAAAGTCCTCACATTACAATAGCTAAATTATGGAAGTAGTTTAAATCCCAACAATGATGAATGAATAAAGAAACCATTGCATATATATGAGGAAGTACTCCTGGGCCACAAAGAGAGGTAAATCTGAGCCATTTGCAAGAATATGGATGGATCTTGAGACCATAATACTATGTAAAATAAATCAAATGCATGATAAGTATTACATAGTTTCTCTAATATGAGAAATCCAAAGTATAAATAAAGAGTAAAATAAAAGACAGACAGTGGAAATAGGGAGACAGACCCTGGAAATGGGAAGGGGGGATGTGGTTAAGTGAAGGAAAGAGAAGGGGAAGGAGAGGAAAGGGAGAAAAAGTGATCAAGATGTGATATGTACATGTACCAATCCCCCAAGGTAAATATAATTACAGTGTATCGCAAACATATTCTAATGAATAAAAGAAGCAAACAAGAAAGGCGTTAACCAGAAGTGGAAAAAACAATGGATGGTTCTGATGATTTGTGAGCCTGGGTGCCTCCCAGCCCCATGATGGAGGGGTTATAAGAAAGCATGAAAATTGGAATTGAAAGCATACTCCCCTCCCAGAGAAAATGTGATGGTGTGCAAATCAATTCAAAAGAAGCTTGTGGCATTTTCCTTCCATAAGAACGGAAGTAAATTGTCCCACTCAAGAATGAGTAAACCGAATTTGAACTTCCTGAAAATTTATCAGCTGATAAAGCAGGATTTAAGTTCAAGGACACATTCCTGTGCCTAATCCTCATTTTACAACTTTTGGAATAAGTTTTCTTTAGGACCAAAATCTTACAGATAGATTTTCCTGGAAAAAAAATTGTTAGAAATGTGCAACAAATTGGCCAGATGCCTCTGAGATATAAACTGTTACTTACAAGTAAGGTAAAAACATTTAGAAACGATCTCAGAGCAAGCACAGTTTTCAATTTAATTCTTGAAAGCGTCATGTTTAAAGTATTTCTTCTGTTATTGTAAGGGTTAATCAGCTTCTCAAAAATGCTTCTCTTCTCACAGAATATAGTTTATATTTGGAGGAAATTTGGCACAGTTTAAGATACAGCTCAACTGGTTTGCTCAGTAGAATCCAACAGTAAGTCATGTTCCCGCCCATCTGTCCTTGAGATTTTATTAGTAGACAGACTTAAAATTTCAAGAGAAAAGCCATTACTCACATCCTTTCTTCGAGAACCTTAAAGGACAACCTTCTTCACATCTTATACCCAAACTAGTAGCCATCTCTTACAGAATTTAGAATTCATTACTAACCCTAGTACCCTTTCTAGCCTAAGGATATCACTGTGGAACAATAGGACATGGACTTAATTTGTGCTTATAGTGTTATAAAAAATTAATTACTAGGCATCAAATTAACTTTGCAGTATGAAGTTAGTTTTGTTCACTTCCAGAAATTGCTATTTTTAAGTTTCTGATATTGAAAAACTATGCAGACAGCAGCAACCTATTCATAAGCATGTATTATTGTGATTGTTACTCTCCCAAAATGGCTTAAGTAGACTACCCTCTAGGATGTGGCAGGAAGTAAAACCCAAAAACATTTTAAAAAAAAAAAAAAACTTTTTACCCCAAGAATAAAAATCTTCACAGCTTAGTATCCTGGTATGAGTAAGGCCATCATGTAGATTTTTAATTATCATCCCTTTCCAGAACCCAAATATATAAGCTACTTATGGGTATTTTGCAGACACTTCAATCCCTATTCATAGGCATGCATATGCACACACACACACACACACACACACACACACACACACACACACACATTTCACAAAGCACTGGCCAATGCCCATTTTCACATAACTCTTCAGCTTCAAAACAACTTCAACTTTCATGTCTGGACAAAATTGAGAAAAATCAAAGAAAACTAGTGTGGGAATCAGCAGGGAAATTTTTTACAGTCCCATTGCGTAGTCTCTTAACGCTGCCTTAGATCTCAGATTAAATTATTATACTTTCAGAGTTGTAGTATTGGGCCACTTGTACATGAAGACAAAGGCAACTTCAACTTGATATTGCTGTCACCCCTGCTGTGGGAAGAGTCCTTTTCCTGGTTTATAACATCAATCACTCTTGCAATAAATCTTGGTGGTGGATATGGTCATTTAAATCTCCACCTGCACAAACAACAGAAAATAAGAGCTCATAAATCTCTACACTGGTGATTAACAAATTTTGGACCCTCGGCAAAGATATTAGGGGGGGAAGGTTCACTGATTCATTAATAAAGACTGATTTGCTGACAATCTGTTTAGTTTACAGCATAAGGGGAAAGCAAACAAGACCCTGCTAACAAAACAAAACGTTAGAGGTTAGTGAATTCCCAGCTGAGCCCAGGATTAGAGATATGATATCTTAATGTAGCAGAGGGGTTCAGACTCTGAGCCAAACACTCAGAAGCTGCTTTTATGTTTTGCTGCAGCCCTCATACTCGATGCCTAATTGTAAGGAAACAAAACCAGGCAGAGAATTAGTAGAAGATATACATGTATCCAGTCTCTTTGGTTTTAGGGCATCAGTTTTGATCAATTCCTGTGTTCCAGTACCCTTTGCCTGTGTACTTCCTTTCAAGATGATTTTTTTTTTTATCTTCCAAGAAAGATGCTCTAAGCTGGGGTTAAGGACGGAAAAGAACATTTCTCAAAGATATAATCCTGCTTTGTGTTTTATAAGATCAGCATTACACGAAGAACCCTGGTAACAAAGAAAACGGCAGAAGGAGAGAAAGGGACAGCGATGGGAAGAAGTTTGCATCACAGATGATGAGCACAGTAAATAGGAAAACAACCAAGATCATATTAAATACATTTTGGGAAAGAATTGTGAAGAAAATTTTCATTGCAGCATAAAGATAAATTTGAGTCATTTGTAGGAAAATGGATGAACCTTGAGGTTATAAGGCTATGAAATAAATCAGATAGGAGACCACCAAGGTAATTTGAAGAGAAAAATAAAAGATAGATGATAGGAAACAAAAAGAGATTTTAAGGGATGGGAAGGGGATCTGGTGACTGAGGGAATAGCAAGTAAAAAGGATCAAGATGCAATATGTATATGCACTAACTCCATACAACTGTCATGTATTCTATGCATGTGTCATGTAGTGCAAACACATACTAGTAAAAAAAAATAATACAAGTATAAAACTTGAGGATAGGAGAGGAAAAAGAAAAGGTTATCCACCAATAAAATATTTTCCACATATGTACTTTACTTTATCTCACTCCTTAGCACTCACACTAAACTGGGTGTGGTTGTGGATGTGTATGCAGTGATCAAGTGTGTGTGTGTGTGTATGTGTGTGTGTGTGTGCATGTGCGTGTGTGTGTGTGTGTGTGGTGTGTGTACACTGGCAGTTCTTTGATATCTTTAAAGTGACCAAATGCAGGTAGATTTTATTTCATACTTTCTCCACTGTCACCATAAATATTGTATAAAGGACTTGTTTTCTTAATTTGCCACAGGTAAAGTGAGATGGCTGTCTCAGTAAAGCCCTGAAATCTTCAGTGATATTAGAGGAAGGCTTTGAGCCTGATCAGCGTTTTAATCGTCGTTTCCTCATAAGGGGGTGGGGTGGAGTGCTTGTGGGTTGCCTTGGGTGGAAGGCCTTAAAGAGCAAAGGATGTAGACATTTTCCTTAAGTTCTCAGTAACAACCATCTGGGACCCCTTCAGAGAAAAAGAAGGTCTTAGGAAATAGGCAGAGGAAAGCAGGACTGGCTCCTGCTAGGTCTGGGCCAGAATGGAAGAAGGAGACCGTTTTGTGAGCATGGTAACTGGGTTGATTTATGTTAGAAGCTGGAAGTCCTGGTCTGTGCCTGAGTCTCCTCTGCTTGTGAAGGGTCTGGGAGCCCTGCTGGGCCCGACAGGCCCCTCCCCTGGACTGCAAGGATCCGCCTCTCTATTCCCCAGATAAATTCCTAGTGTCCACCAAATTCCTCAGCGCTCTCTCACACTCCTCTAAGGCCACGACTCCGGGGGTGGGGAAACATAGCGCCGGCTGGTTCCCTCCCCGAAGAAGCCCTTGCGGTTGCTTTTCACAATTCTGTGAAGGGAAAGGGGTGAGCTCCCCACAACTGCTGCAACTCCCAACTAGAGCTGGCTGCTCCACACCTCCTGGCGTAGTTGGGAGTGCCATTGGTCTGGCTCTTTCTTTCCCTCAATCCCCTTCTCTTCCTCTGTCTCCCTCTTGCCCTCTCCCCTTAAACATGTCCACTGGCTCCCTCAGCGATGTGGAGGACCTCCAAGAGGTGGAGATGCTGGAATGCGACGGGCTAAAAGTGGACTCCAACAAGGAGTTTGTGACCTCCAACGAGAGCACCGAGGAGAGCTCCAACTGCGAGAACGGGTCTCCGCAGAAAGGCCGCGGAGGCCTGGGCAAGAGGAGGAAGGCGCCCACCAAGAAGAGTCCCCTGAGCGGGGTCAGCCAGGAGGGAAAGCAGGTCCAGCGCAACGCAGCCAACGCGCGCGAGCGGGCCCGCATGCGGGTGCTGAGCAAGGCCTTCTCCAGGCTCAAGACCACGCTGCCCTGGGTGCCCCCGGACACCAAGCTCTCCAAGCTGGACACGCTGCGGCTGGCGTCCAGCTACATCGCCCACTTGAGGCAGATCCTGGCTAACGACAAGTACGAAAATGGTTACATTCATCCGGTCAACCTGGTGAGTCCTGGGTCGTGCCTCGCGGTGTGAGCGCTGGCCCATGAGAGGGGCTGGAAGTGGGGGTGCAGCGCGGGTGTGGCAGACCCACCTGAGCTGCCTAGGCACCGGCGGTGATCTGCACAGCCTAGCGCCTCTAGAGACCGGTTGCAGGCTCTCCCCACAGAGACCTTGCTCTCCACTCTGCGCCTGCGGATCCGGAGTGATTTATGCCAAGTTTTGACTGGGCAGCCCAGTTAGGGATTTCCAAGGGTATTAAACTGGCAAAGGGGAGGGATCCCTGTGCCGGTGCCAGCGCCCTTCTGCTGGCGTGAAGGCACGGGTGTCGGACAAAGAATACTGACAAGGTGCTTCACACTCAGGACACATTTTATTCATGCCTAGTGTTCTTTTAGTTGAGAGTGAAACTTGATTTTTCCCTTCTAATTCTTGCAACCCCGTTCCTTCCCAGGAATATTTACGACCATTAGATAGGGACTCATTTATCTTCCCTTGTAATTATTCGTGCAAATGGTCCAATTATTTAAATATTCTGTGCTTCTATACATGGATTAACACTTTAAATCCTACCATTTCTGGCAAGTAGCATAATCAGTAAATTTGCATCAAATTAGTGTAATGAATAATATGAGAATGTCACATGTTAACTATGACTTTAAAAAATAGCAATGGCCATTGAGCTTAATTTTTTTAAATACAAGATTGCAACTTTTCTTGAGCTCATTTTCCTCAAAGGAATTTACTTTATAAGAAATGTATTTTAGTTTCTTTTTCATTTGATTTTATTTTAAAACTTACAGATTCCAAAGAGAAAAATAAGAATAATTTACTAAGACTTCTGTTTACATATGATAAGAACCAGAGACTGGCCTCTTAAAAGGCAGGTCTTAGCAGCAGCATTGGTGAGAGAGGTCTGAATTGTCTTCTCACTGAATTGGCCTCAGGAATTGGGAGGAGAAAACGCAAAACCACATTTTGCTATAAAAACATTTTTCCAATTAAAATTTTGTTTTTACAATTAGATGGGTAACGTTTTAAAATCTGGAAAGTAACGCCAAGAGCATTTGCAATCGCTGCTGCCTTCATCTTTGAATAAGAAACTTAAATGCGCTTAATTATAAAACACCCTGGAGAAAGAAGAAAGCTTTGCTTGCTCAGTAGAAAGATGATCGGAAATAAAATGTTGGTATAACTTTTATTAGCATGCCCCTTCCCTCTTAAAGCTTGGGATTGATTCAAAACCGTGGTTAAAGCCCAGGTTTGTGATGGAGGAAGCCAAAGTCAGCACCAGAGAGACAGACCAGGGTGGAGGCTAGCGGACCTGGAAACTTGACCACGGGCCTCACTCGGGGCTCCGAGGGCGCTCTGACCCGAGCCGGTGCCCCGAAGGCGCGGGATCCCGCCCACTCCCACCAGCGGGGCATCTGCCCAGCCCCTGCCACCCCGGGCTCCCGTGGTGGGGTTTCCTCTCTGGGGTTTCACTTCCCACCCAGTCTGGGTCCCTTCTGCTCTACCCTGAAGCTCGGCATCACCACGTCGAGCGGGGCCAAGGCCACTTTCGGCTTTACCCAGCCTCGGGTCGCACCAGGACACCGCGTGGACCGCGGAGCCCACGGCCTCTCCAGCCCCCCGCGCGCCTGCACTGCCCGGTGCAGGCTCCAGCACACCCCTCCCCTCCCCGAGGCCACTTACCTCCTCCGCCCTCTTCTCTCCCGCAGACGTGGCCCTTTATGGTGGCCGGGAAACCCGAGAGTGACCTAAAAGAGGTGGTGACCGCGAGCCGCTTGTGTGGAACCACGGCGTCCTGACCTTGGAGGTGCGAGTCTGGGAAAGGCGCGCTCCCGCGGGAAGCGGCCGGGAAGGCCACCCCTGCCCTCCCGCTCTCCGTCTCGCTCCTCTCCCATCCCGGCCTGAGAACCTTTACATCCACGACGAGGAGATTCGTTTCCAAACCAGAGGAGGTCAACTGTATTTACGGATTCCCATCTATTTAACTTTATTAACTTCTACCGTGAATGGTTCTGTGAGCCTTGCTGGTCCAAGTGCAATATGTAATTATAAATATATAAATAGATAATAAGAGCCTATCAATGTGTATCTTTTTTGTACAGTATGTTGTAAAATGTAGATCATAGAATAGCTGACTTTGACAGTCACATTTATAAAGTAATTCACTTAAAGATATATATTTTTTTCAAACAAGTTTTGCTACTTTCAAAAATAAATCTTTCATATATTACTAAAAGCCCTAGTATTGGTCTGTTTTCTTTTTTTAATTGTTTGGGAGAAAAATGTGGAAAACCATGGAAAAGTTTGGTTTTTTTATAAAAGTTTATTTAAAACCTCGATCCTAACTTCAAGTAGAGGAATAAATATGAATTCTACTGTGAAGATGTATATTCTGTTGTGAGATTTAAAAGAACTCTTCCAAGTTATTTCAAAGACCATTAGAAATAGTGTAGCTGTAAACAGAGAATATGTAGGATTAAAGTTATTTAGTTACAAGATCAAGAGGGAAAAACACAGAACACACACGCACAAACACACAGACACACACACACACACAATCTGCTTTTCAACTATTCCACAGTATAGCTGCTGACACGGTCAGGGGTAGTAAACTGCACATTTTATAACTTTCCGAGCATGGATGTGATCCCAACAACCCATGCCTGGGGATTAGAGAAGAACTAATGGAAACTTTGAAAGATACAAATTCCATTTCCTTTAAGGTGCGGCTTGCGATTTCTACATGCTGCAACATACCTTATCTATTTCTGATGAATAATTCATTAATTTTAACAATAAAGTACATGCCTGCGTTTTGGTTATGGTTACCCTGTGACCAGCTCCCACCACGACTTCCGGCGGGCTGGGTTTTAATTTAAACATCTTCCAGGCTATGGAACAGCTCGGAGGGGAAGATTACGTTGAGATAAACAGAGAGGCGAGGCCGAGGATCCTGGAACCCGGCTCCTCGCTGCCCCTGCGCAGCCTGGGGCGGCCGATGCGCCAGATGCCACCGGGGCTGTTTAATGTTCGGGGTTATGACCGCAGTGTTTACAAGACGTCTTCGGTTATTTATACTGTTATTCCTCGCAGAGGGCCTTGAAACTTCCGCTTCATTTGCTCTTTCTTTTCGATTTTCCCCCGTTTTCCCGGCTCGGTGTGGTACCTGGCATGAGGATTTCCCACCGTCCCCTCCCGCACTCCCCTCCTGCTAAGCTCCAGGCCCTGCTCTGTGCGCAAGGATTCTGCTCAGCTGCTCCAGACTAGGGACCAGGAAGCAGCTGCCCCAAGGCTGCACTGCCAGCAAGTGTAACTCTCCACTCTCCCAGGACTTCGGTGACCCCTCATCCCTGTCAGTTGTCCCTGGAGGCTCTGTCAAGGTGTCAGGCAGCTTCTCACTGCCACCCCAACTTGACTTTCATGCACACTTGTAAAGCTCTAGGCACAGCCACGTTCCCCAGATTCGCCCTATCTATTCCCTTTTACCAGAGGAACACAGCTCTCACCCCAAATGATCCAGAGTTCAAGTCTGAAGACTGGTACTAGCAAGATTTAGTTATTTGCCTTTCACTCTTAGCAAACTTTCCAAGTTTCTGAGTACTTTTGTTGTTGTTGTTGCTGTTATTACAAACCAAATGAAATTCTGAGCACTCCATAAGGCAGCCTCCACAGAGAAGCAGTTCATTCTCTGACAACCCTAAACTCAGGTGGACATTTATAAAAGGTCCCATGCATCCTACCAGTAATTTAAAGTCTTGGCTGGGAAGAAGAAAGGTGGGTATGTATGGGGAGCACATGGATTTCATTCTGCAAACTAGCTAGGCAGTTACCCTCATCCTCAATTTTCTCATTCTTGCAAATAAAAAATAAAAGTGAAGATAGTTGTATTCATACTTTGGTCTTCCACATACAAAGATTCAGTGTAACCCAAATGTAGGTGAAGTATCTATATAAAGGAAAGGCTCTGTGTAAATGCTGGTCACTCATACCAAATGGCAGGTGGGAACTCTAGATACAAACTGAAAGCATCTCAGGCAGAAGGGTCAAAGGACGTGTGTTTATAATGTAAAGGGAATTGTCTTTTTATTGCATTGATATGTCTCTTTGATGCAACACTGGACCCTTCTCACCTTTCACCTTTCCTAATATTCTCCAAATTTGTCCAGAGTTGTTTAACAAGGTGACTTCCAGAAATCCAAAATCCAAGAAAACTCAGAGAGCAAAAACAGTCTAAAAGATGCAAATACTAAGAAAATGCTGATGTCTTGATAGTAATACACAGTCCCATCTGGAACCTTATCAGTGGAGCCTGGGCACACTTGGGTGCCCATAGACACAGACTGAAGGAATCAAATAGTGGAGAGGGAATGGCTGGATTGGGACTGCGGCTAGTCCCAGAAACACGACAATGTGACCAGCCTACACACACCTCCACCGTAGTCCTACAGCCTACATACATGGTTCCTTCTCCTATGCTACATGGCCAGCGCACCTATATACTTACCATACCCAGCTTCCTGGTCCCTTTTGTTCTCCTTGTATCTCTCCAAGAGAGCACCACCAGCCTGCCTGGTGCCTAACCCAGGTAATGTGCTGTGCTACAGTTTGAGGAGCAATTTGCAAAACAGGAATGATCCTCTTTGCCTTAAGTCAGCAGAGGTGGGGTGAGTGTTCAGGAGTACCCTGTGATTTCCAGATTATGAAAATTGTTTGAAGGTACTTTCCGAAAGAACAGGGGATGATTAAGGAGGCTCAAGCAGATGCATAGAGGGAGAATGAAGTGTTTCTAAAAAAATGTGAATTCTCAGGAGGAGCAGACACACATGTTACTGCAGCAGGAGGAACTCACTATCTTCTTTCTCTCCTTTAACTAATAATTCAATGTGCTTTTAGCAGGTCTTGCCACTGTTGAATTGGAGTCTTCTTTTTTTGTCCGAAAAGAGAAGCCGTAAACAGCTCTGTTGACCACAGAATATATATATATATATATTTAATGATTACTAAAAGCTTTGTCAGATGGGACTTTTAAACCAGCACTTCTTTTTGTCAAAACCCCAGTTTGTACCAACCTCCAGAAGTGCTGACTGAAGGAGGCAGATGGGGACCAGGAATTAGTATTTCTCACAAGTTACCATGCCATGCTACCCCCTCCCAACCTGGAGACATTTTGAGAGTCACCGTTTTGAGACATGTCTTATTAAGCAAACAAAAAAAGCAATTGCAGAGGAAAAGAAAATATTGCAGCGGGGCAACAGCCTAATTAAATATTCTGTTCACTCTAAAGTGACAAGCAATGGATTCGTAATTCTTAATTGCCCACCTGGAAAGAAAACCCCTCTAGGTCAAAAAATAAAGGGCTTGATCCGGCCTAGAGGATGGATGTCTCTAAGCTCATCTTAGAGACTCAAAGATAAATGTCAGTCGTTAGGCGCTGCGTTAAAGTCTGCAGTGGACTGAGGCCAGGCTGCTGGTGGCTCCCTTGCGACCTCTAAAGGGAAAGGAAATTTGGGCGCCCCTGGGTCAGGCTCGCTGCTAGAGGGTTTCTAGCTTCATTCTCAGGCCTGGCTTCGGTTCTCTCCAGTGGGAGTGTTCGGTCAGCTCTGATTCCGTGCTCAGCACACGAAGAAACTGAAGAGGAATTGAGGTAAACAGATGTCAGAGGGGCGAGTGAGGACAGCAGTGGAGGGACAAGGGGAGAGGAATAGGGAAAGGCCTTGGCGGTTTTTGGCTTGGGAGAAGAGTTTATGGAAGCGGGCAAACAGAGGAAGGAGGCTTCCCGCCCCACTGTGTGCAGTCTTCTCTGTGTCCCTTCCCTGCACCGTCTGGGAACGGCTGTGTCCCCGCAGCACCAGAGTGGCAGCGGCACAGGTTCTGGGTTTCTGCAACGCACCGAGGTGAAAGCGGCGGCGGGCCAGGCGGAGCTGGCCCAGCGAACATCCCTTCTTAGCTTTGCATCCTTCCCTCCAAGTGCTGGCTGTGCTCCTGCAAACTCACTGGGTGCCAGCGGCGTTCTTGAGAGTCCATTCAGCTTCCTCCCGGGGACTGGGTGGTTCGCGCCTTTGATCTCAGAGCCTGGCAGCTTCTGCGGCTCCACCCTCCTCCCTGAAATCACCCAAAGGATTAGCTTCTGAGCCCCTCAGGGCAGAGGGAGGAGACAGGGTGGGAAAAGGCGCACTGAGCAGCCATTTAGAACGCAGCAGAGCGAGGAGCCCACTCGGAAGAGCAACGTCACACTGCGCTCCTGCACTGAGCATCCAGTGCCGTGCTGGACACCAGACTAAGCTTCGAACCCTGAATGAATTCTTAACTCTTAGAGGGTCTGGAGAAGGAAGGAGATAAGATGGGGGACAATGAGGAGGGAAGTGGGGCTATTCTTAAACTGAACATGAGCTCTTCATTGAACCTGTGTGCATATCTGAGAAGAAAACAAAATAGAAAAGCAAGCAGATACCGTGGGACCAGATGGAACCAACTTCAATGAGATGTTTGGGCTGGCTCCTACAGGACTCAGATGGAATGTTTCCCTCCCTTCTCCTGTTGAAGATATTATTCAGTTCTTACTTATTGGCTGGAAACTTTATAACAATAAAATGTTCATATAGTTTTATTTTATTTATCTGGTTTTTGGTATCAGGAATCAAGGACCTTGTGCTTGCTGGGCAGTGCTTATACCTCTGAGCTATACCCCTGACCCCCGTGATTTGATTTTAAAACTAATTCAGTTGGTGATGAGAATGTATTTTGTGGCCTCTTGCAGATGTATGCTTGATTCTATTTTAGTGAAAAGAACATTTGACTGAGTCCTTAAACAAGATCCTCTTGGTTTTTCCATCTTATAGAATGAGTGTAATAATGACTGCTTTGATAAAATAGTGTGCATGTGGGGGCAATGTCTGGCATAGGACAGATACTAACTAATATTAATTCTTCCTTTCTTTTGGTTATTAAAATAAAGTGATCAAAAAGATGATATAGTCACCTACACAATAGTAAATAATTATTAATTTTGTGATAATCTAATTGCATCAAATCACCTTGAATGTGATTAAAAGAGGTTGTCCTTCGGGTTTGTTTGCTCTTCAGTGATACCCCACTGCTTTATCTGGACTTGATCCTGCCCTTAAGGCTGTATTTCAGTATTATTACTTCATTCCTAATAGGTAATGATGATTTTCTTCATCTCTCTGGATTGTAGATAGGATTTGGGAGAGAATAGATTTAAAAGCAGGATACAAA